GCTAAAGTACCTGAAGATGACCGCGGACTTCAGCATCGTGTTCGATGGCAACAACAAGCACGAACCGCGAGGCTTCGCGGATGTGTCATGGGCGAGTGATTTGGATTCGCGTCGCTCGACAACGGGCTACGTATTCTTCATAAACAACAGTGTGGTTTCATGGAAGTCGAAACGGCAGCCGACGGTGGCAACGTCAAGCACCGAGGCAGAGTACATGGCGTTGTACTCTGCGACACAAGAGGCGGTATGGCTGCGTTTGCTGCTTTCGAATATTGGTATTGTACCAGAAGCGGGAACGACAATCTATGAAGATAACCAAGGCTGCATTACCCTGTCAAAGAACCCGGTGTTTCACTCAAGAAAAAAACACATCGACATCAAATTTCATTTTCTTCGCGAAAAAGGTTGTGGAAGATGTCATTGAGCTCGAGTATGTACCTACGGATCAAATGGTTGCAGACGGCTTAACGAAAGAGCTCGGGCGTGTCAAACATGAGAAGTTTCTCAAAGGTCTTCATCTCGAAACTTAGGCGCAAGCAAAGAAGAACATGCGCATCAAGGGAGAGTGTTGGTGGTAGGTGATGCTTCTTGTGCAGTTGCATGGAAAGTTCATTTATATTCAGGTGTGTTATTGCGTTAGAAGTTAGTACAAGTACGGTAGAAAAGTTGCATGGTGATTTGAAAACGTCCAGTTTCTCAGTCGGGAAGGCGTGGCAGCGTTATCCCAGAGGTCACTGGTTCCGGTGGGGACAAGCTACAAAGTAAAGCCTTCGGGTCCTGGTATCTAGGGTTTGCCAGCACTGTCCTGCCAGATAGTGACGTCCCCTACTTTTGCGACAGGGGCATGACAACGACGTGAGATGGTCAATTAGAATTGACCGGTCTGCAGGTGAAACTGCGAATCATGATTGGGCAGCTGAGACGACTGGAGACGAAGCGCAGAAGATCTAATGGTAGCAAGAATGAGACTAACGGTAGGATGAGGTAAACACACAATGCTATTCACTTTTGGTTTTACTGCTTCGACCACAAGTAACTTCTTCTAAACGCTCACGACAACCTAGGAATTCAACCAGTATATCATGCGTCAAGTCCGAAGGCAAGTCCGTTCGAAATTTTGTTCAAGCGCAAGCCACGGATCGATTCTATGCGGTTGTTTGGTAGTCTATGCTACGCGCACGTGGCCAAGGCAAAGAGAGCCAAGTTAGACGACTCAGGTGTGCGCTGTTTGCTACTCGGCTACTCTAAACAGCACAAGACCTATCGACTTCTAAATGCAAGCACAGGGGATGTGGTGATATCTCGCAGCGCGACTTCCGCCGAGCATGCGATAGTAAAAGCAAGCAGAAACATCACACCCGATGTGATCGACTTTTGGACGACGAAGATTATGTACAAGAGCCTACAGACGCAGCAATGGATGATGAAATTCACACCCCAACACCCGGAAGTCCAAGTGTCACCCATGTCAAGACGGGACCGACCGAACGACCTTCTGGATCCGTCCCAACGCGACAATCGAGTACACCGGGGCGTGACGGTGAACCAGAGCCACATGTGCGTCCAGTGCGCAAGAAACAGGCGGTTACTCGCTACTAGCAAGAGTTTCCAAACCTGCAGCGGGGTGTATTTAATCTCGATGACTATGAAGATGGCTACGACGCACAATACTGCCTTAGCGCAGATGATGACGGCTAGAGTGCGTCGACATACGATCAAGAGCTAAGGAGCAAGCACAAGAAAGACTGGATGCGTGCCAAGAAGAGCGAGATCAAGTCGCTCGTTCAGCACAAGACATGGACTCTTGTAGATATTCCTAGCGACAAGAGGTCGATCAGGTGAAGTGGATTTTTCGAATCAAGCGAGATCAATCCGGGGCGATTGTAAAGTTCAAGGCACGACTCGTGGCTAAGGGATTCACACAGCGTCCCGGCGTGGACTATTTCGACACTTTAGATCCCGTGGCTCGTAAAGAGTCGATCAATATCGCGTTATCGCTCGCGGCTGAAGAAAATTTGAAGATTAAAGATGTCGATGTTGACACTGCCTTCCTTTACGGTAAAGTTAAGGAAGAGATCTACATGCACCAGCCGGACGGATTTGTGGATGAGCGACACCGTGCGAAAAGTGCCTTTTGCACACAGTACTATACGGCACAAAGCAGGCAGCACGCGAATGGAACAATCGTCTTAGCCACCACCTCGAAGGACAAGGCTTCAAGAAGGCAGCAGCTGATCCTTGTGTTTACCTACGCCGATCGAAGGGTGAATTTAGTCTCATGATCATTCACGTTGATGTCTTGATGATTTTCACGCGGACGCAAAAACACATCGACGACATCAAGCGTGAACTCAAGACGGACTGTAGCATCAAGGGACGGACGGAGCTCGGTGAACTAAAGTACTGCCTTGGTATTGAACTGAAGCGTGACATTAACAGCAAGACAATTCGGTTGAATCAACGTGGATACATCAAGCGTCTTGCAGAGAAGTATGGCATCGACAAATGCAAGGACGTGCACACGCCGACTAATGAAGGTTAGAAGCTTTCAAAGCTCACGACGGATGAAAATTGTGTGCCCAAGTGGCCTTACCGCGAGCTGGTAGGTGCTTTGATGTACGCCTTCACGTGCTCCCGCCCGGATATTATGCATGCGGTTGGAGAAGTAGCCAGGCATTGCAAGAAGAATGGAAAGCAGCTCTGGACAGCAGCAAAGTGAGTGCTAAAGTACCTGAAGATGACCGCGGACTTCAGCATCGTGTTCGATGGCAACAACAAGCACGAACCGCTAGGGCTTCGCGGATGTGTCATGGGCGAGTGATTTGGATTCGCGTCGCTCGACAACGGGCTACGTATTCTTCATAAACAACAGTGTGGTTTCATGGAAGTCGAAACGGCAGCCGACGGTGGCAACGTCAAGCACCGAGGCAGAGTACATGGCGTTGTACTCTGCGACACAAGAGGCGGTATGGCTGCGTTTGCTGCTTTCGAATATTGGTATTGTACCAGAAGCGGGAACGACAATCTATGAAGATAACCAAGGCTGCATTACCCTGTCAAAGAACCCGGTGTTTCACTCAAGAAAAAAACACATCGACATCAAATTTCATTTTCTTCGCGAAAAAGGTTGTGGAAGATGTCATTGAGCTCGAGTATGTACCTACGGATCAAATGGTTGCAGACGGCTTAACGAAAGAGCTCGGGCGTGTCAAACATGAGAAGTTTCTCAAAGGTCTTCATCTCGAAACTTAGGCGCAAGCAAAGAAGCACATGCGCATCAAGGGAGAGTGTTGGTGGTAGGTGATGCTTCTTGTGCAGTTGCATGGAAAGTTCATTTATATTCAGGTGTGTTATTGCGTTAGAAGTTAGTACAAGTACGGTAGAAAAGTTGCATGGTGATTTGAAAACGTCCAGTTTCTCTGTCGGGAAGGCGTGGCAGCTTTATCCCAGAGGTCACTGGTTCCGGTGGGGACAAGCTACAAAGTAAAGCCTTCGGGTCCTGGTATCTAGGGTTTGCCAGCACTGTCCTGCCAGATAGTGACGTCCCCTACTTTTGCGACAGGGGCATGACAACGACGTGAGATGGTCAATTAGAATTGACTGGTCTGCAGGTGAAACTGCGAATCGTGATTGGGCAGCTGAGACGACTGGAGACGAAGCGCAGAAGATCTAATGGTAGCAAGAATGAGACTAACGGTAGGATGAGGTAAACACACAATGCTATTCACTTTTGGTTTTACTGCTTCGACCACAAGTAACTTCTTCTAAACGCTCACGACAACCTAGGAATTCAACCAGTATATCATGCGTCAAGTCCGAAGGCAAGTCCGTTCGAAATTTTGTTCAAGCGCAAGCCACGGATCGATTCTATGCGGGTGTTTGGTAGTCTATGCTACGCGCACGTGGCCAAGGCAAAGAGAGCCAAGTTAGACGACTCAGGTGTGCGCTGTTTGCTACTCGGCTACTCTAAACAGCACAAGACCTATCGACTTCTAAATGCAAGCACAGGGGATGTGGTGATATCTCGCAGCGCGACTTCCGCCGAGCATGCGATAGTAAAAGCAAGCAGAAACATCACACCCGATGTGATCGACTTTTGGATGACGAAGATTATGTACAAGAGCCTACAGACGCAGCAATGGATGATGAAATTCACACCCCAACACCCGGAAGTCCAAGTGTCACCCATGTCAAGACGGGACCGACCGAACGACCTTCTGGATCCGTCCCAACGCGACAATCGAGTACACCGGGGCGTGACGGTGAACCAGAGCCACATGTGCGTCCAGTGCGAAAGAAACAGGCGGTTACTCGCTACTAGCAAGAGTTTCCAAACCTGCAGCGCGGTGTATTTAATCTTGATGACTATGAAGCTGGCTACGACGCACAATACTGCCTTAGCGCAGATGATGACGGCTAGAGTGCGTCGACATACGATCAAGAGCTAAGGAGCAAGCACAAGAAAGACTGGATGCGTGCCAAGAAGAGCGAGATCAAGTCGCTCGTTCAGCACAAGACATGGACTCTTGTAGATATTCCTAGCGACAAGAGGTCGATCAGGTGAAGTAGATTTTTCGAATCAAGCGAGATCAATCCGGGGCGATTGTAAAGTTCAAGGCACGACTCGTGGCTAAGGGATTCACACAGCGTCCCGGCGTGGACTATTTCGACACTTTAGATCCCGTGGCTCGTAAAGAGTCGATCAATATCGCGTTATCGCTCGCGGCTGAAGAAAATTTGAAGATTAAAGATGTCGATGTTGACACTGCCTTCCTTTACGGTAAAGTTAAGGAAGAGATCTACATGCACCAGCCGGACGGATTTGTGGATGAGCGACACCGTGCGAAAAGTGCCTTTTGCACAAAGTACTATACGGCACAAAGCAGGCAGCGCGCGAATGGAACAATCGTCTTAGCCACCACCTCGAAGGACAAGGCTTCAAGAAGGCAGCAGCTGATCCTTGTGTTTACCTACGCCGATCGAAGGGTGAATTTAGTCTCATGATCATTCACGTTGATGTCTTGATGATTTTCGCGCGGACGCAAAAACACATCGACGACATCAAGCGTGAACTCAAGACGGACTGTAGCATCAAGGGACGGACGGAGCTCGGTGAACTAAAGTACTGCCTTGGTATTGAACTGAAGCGTGACATTAACAGCAAGACAATTCGGTTGAATCAACGTGGATACATCAAGCGTCTTGCAGAGAAGTATGGCATCGACAAATGCAAGGACGTGCACACGCCGACTAATGAAGGTTAGAAGCTTTCAAAGCTCACGACGGATGAAAATTGTGTGCCCAAGTGGCCTTACCGCGAGCTGGTAGGTGCTTTGATGTACGCCTTCACGTGCTCCCGCCCGGATATTATGCATGCGGTTGGAGAAGTAGCCAGGCATTGCAAGAAGAATGGAAAGCAGCTCTGGACAGCAGCAAAGTGAGTGCTAAAGTACCTGAAGATGACCGCGGACTTCAGCATCGTGTTCGATGGCAACAACAAGCACGAACCGCTAGGCTTCGCGGATGTGTCATGGGCGAGTGATTTGGATTCGCGTCGCTCGACAACGGGCTACGTATTCTTCATAAACAACAGTGTGGTTTCATGAAAGTCGAAACGGCAGCCGACGGTGGCAACGTCAAGCACCGAGGCAGAGTACATGGCGTTGTACTCTGCGACACAAGAGGCGGTATGGCTGCGTTTGCTGCTTTCGAATATTGGTATTGTACCAGAAGCGGGAACGACAATCTATGAAGATAACCAAGGCTGCATTACCCTGTCAAAGAACCCGGTGTTTCACTCAAGAAAAAAACACATCGACATCAAATTTCATTTTCTTCGCGAAAAAGGTTGTGGAAGATGTCATTGAGCTCGAGTATGTGCCTACGGATCAAATGGTTGCAGACGGCTTAACGAAAGAGCTCGGGCGTGTCAAACATGAGAAGTTTCTCAAAGGTCTTCATCTCGAAACTTAGGCGCAAGCAAAGAAGCACATGCGCATCAAGGGAGAGTGTTGGTGGTAGGTGATGCTTCTTGTGCAGTTGCATGGAAAGTTCATTTATATTCAGGTGTGTTATTGCGTTAGAAGTTAGTACAAGTACGGTAGAAAAGTTGCATGGTGATTTGAAAACGTCCAGTTTCTCAGTCGGGAAGGCGTGGCAGCGTTATCCCAGAGGTCACTGATTCCGGTGAGGACAAGCTACAAAGTATAGCCTTCGGGTCCTGGTATCTAGGGTTTGCCAGCACTGTCCTGCCAGATAGTGACGTCCCCTACTTTTGCGACAGGGGCATGACAACGACGTGTGATTGGTCAATTAGAATTGACCGGTCTGCAGGTGAAACTGCGAATCGTGATTGGGCAGCTGAGACGACTGGAGACGAAGCGCAGAAGATCTAATGGTAGCAAGAATGAGACTAACGGTAGGATGAGGTAAACACACAATGCTATTCACTTTTGGTTTTACTGCTTCAACCACAAGTAACTTCTTCTAAACGCTCACGACAACCTAGGAATTCAACCAGTATATCATGCGTCAAGTCTGAAGGCAAGTCCGTTCGAAGTTTTGTTCAAGCGCAAGCCACAGATCGGTTCTATGCGGGTGTTTGGTAGTCTATGCTACGCGCACGTGGCCAAGGCAAAGAGAGCCAAGTTAGACGACTCAGGTGTGCGCTGTTTGCTACTCGGCTACTCTAAACAGCACAAGACCTATCGACTTCCAAATGCAAGCACAGGGGATGTGGTGATATCTCGCAGCGCGACTTCCGCCGAGCATGCGATAGTAAAAGCAAGCAGAAACATCACACCCGATGTGATCGACTTTTGGATGACGAAGATTATGTACAAGAGCCTACAGACGCAGCAATGGATGATGAAATTCACACCCCAACACCCGGAAGTCCAAGTGTCACCCATGTCAAGACGGGACCGACCGAACGACCTTCTGGCTCCGTCCCAACGCGACAATCGAGTACACCGGGGCGTGACGGTGAACCTGAGCGACATGTGCGTCCAGTGCGCAAGAAACAGGCGGTTACTCGCTACTAGCAAGAGTTTCCAAACCTGCAGCGCGGTGTATTTAATCTCGATGACTATGAAGATGGCTACGACGCACAATACTGCCTTAGCGCAGATGATGACGGCTAGAGTGCGTCGACATACGATCAAGAGCTAAGGAGCAAGCACAAGAAAGACTGGATGCGTGCCAAGAAGAGAGAGATCAAGTCGCTCGCTCAGCACAAGACATGGACTCTTGTAGATATTCCTAGCGACAAGAGGTCGATCAGGTGAAGTGGATTTTTCGAATCAAGCGAGAGCAATCCGGGGCGATTGTAAAGTTCAAGGCACGACTCGTGGCTAAGGGATTCACACAGCGTCCCGGCGTGGACTATTTCGACACTTTAGATCCCGTGGCTCGTAAAGAGTCGATCAATATCGCGTTATCGCTCGCGGCTGAAGAAAATTTGAAGATTAAAGATGTCGATGTTGACACTGCCTTCCTTTACGGTAAAGTTAAGGAAGAGATCTACATGCACCAGCCGGACGGATTTGTGGATGAGCGACACCGTGCGAAAAGTGCCTTTTGCACACAGTACTATACGGCACAAAGCAGGCAGCACGCGAATGGAACAATCGTCTTAGCCACCACCTCGAAGGACAAGGCTTCAAGAAGGCAGCAGCTGATCCTTGTGTTTACCTACGCCGATCGAAGGGTGAATTTAGTCTCATGATCATTCACGTTGATGTCTTGATGATTTTCATGCGGACGCAAAAACACATCGACGACATCAAGCGTGAACTCAAGATGGACTGTAGCATCAAGGGACGGACGGAGCTCGGTGAACTAAAGTACTGCCTTGGTATTGAACTGAAGCGTGAAATTAACAGCAAGACAATTCGGTTGAATCAACGTGGATACATCAAGCGTCTTGCAGAGAAGTATGGCATCGACAAATGCAAGGACGTGCACACGCCGACTAATGAAGGTTAGAAGCTTTCAAAGCTCACGACGGATGAAAATTGTGTGCCCAAGTGGCCTTACCGCGAGCTGGTAGGTGCTTTGATGTACGTCTTCACGTGCACCCGCCCGGATATTATGCATGCGGTTGGAGAAGTAGCCAGGCATTGCAAGAAGAATGGAAAGCAGCTCTGGACAGCAGCAAAGCGAGTGCTAAAGTACCTGAAGATGACCGCGGACTTCAGCATCGTGTTCGATAGCAACAACAAGCACGAACCGCTAGGCTTCGCGGATGTGTCATGGGCGAGTGATTTGGATTCGCGTCGCTCGACAACGGGCTACGTATTCTTCATAAACAACAGTGTGGTTTCATGAAAGTCGAAACGGCAGCCGACGGTGGCAACGTCAAGCACCGAGGCAGAGTACATGGCGTTGTACTCTGCGACACAAGAGGCGGTATGGCTGCGTTTGCTGCTTTCGAATATTGGTATTAGAGATTTGAGGCATTTATGAACACGAACACGTACCAGAAGCGGGAACGACAACCTATGAAGATAACCAAGGCTGCATTACCCTGTCAAAGAACCCGGTGTTTCACTCAAGAAAAAACACATCGACATCAAATTTCATTTTCTTCGCGAAAAAGGTTGTGGAAGATGTCATTGAGCTCGAGTATGTACCTACGGATCAAATGGTTGCAGACGGCTTAACGAAAGAGCTCGGGCGTGTCAAACATGAGAAGTTTCTCAAAGGTCTTCATCTCGAAACTTAGGCGCAAGCAAAGAAGAACATGCGCATCAAGGGAGAGTGTTGGTGGTAGGTGATGCTTCTTGTGCAGTTGCATGGAAAGTTCATTTATATTCAGGTGTGTTATTGCGTTAGAAGTTAGTACAAGTACGGTAGAAAAGTTGCATGGTGATTTGAAAACATCCAGTTTCTCTGTCGGGAAGGCGTGGCAGCTTTATCCCAGAGGTCACTGGTTCCGGTGGGGACAAGCTACAAAGTGAAGCCTTCGGGTCCTGGTATCTAGGGTTTGCCAGCACTGTCCTGCCAGATAGTGACGTCCCCTACTTTTGCGACAGGGGCATGACAACAACGTGTGATTGGTCAATTATAATTGACCGGTCTGCAGGTGAAACTGCGAATCGTGATTGGGCAGCTGAGACGACTGGAGACGAAGCGCAGAAGATCTAATGGTAGCAAGAATGAGACTAACGGTAGGATGAGGTAAACACACAATGCTATTCACTTTTGGTTTTACTGCTTCAACCACAAGTAACTTCTTCTAAAGTTGATCACATCGGGTGTGATATTTCTGCTTGCTTTTACTATCGCATGCTCGGCGGAAGTCGCGCTGCGAGATATCACCACATCCCCTGTGCTTGCATTTGGAAGTCGATAGGTCTTGTGCTGTTTAGAGTAGCCGAGTAGCAAACAGCGCACACCTGAGTCGTCTAACTTGGCTCTCTTTGCCTTGGCCACGTGCGCGTAGCATAGACTACCAAACACCCGCATAGAATCGATCTGTGGCTTGCGCTTGAACAAAACTTCGAACGGACTTGCCTTCAGACTTGACGGATGATATACTGGTTGAATTCCTAGGTTGTCGTGAGCGTTTTCCCGAGAGCTTCTTTGATCGCGTAACGCAAGGGTTACGCGACGATCTCGAACATGAGCGGAATAGGCGTCTCCAAATGGCGGACACTGCCTCGAAGCATCGAGCTGAGTTTGCCTTTGCTCAGCTTGAGAGCGAGAGATCTCTGACATCTCTTCGTGACGAGCTAAGGGTAGCTCGTGGGATTGTTGATCGGTCTCGGGATGAGATAGCTGCTCTTCAGACCCTTGTTGATGCCCACCATCGGGAGCACAAGGCTCTCTGCGAGATGCTTGAGCGCAAGGGCGTTCTTCATCGGAAGAAGCAGCGTACTGATGGTACGGCTTAAGCCGACCAACGTAAAACGTGGGATGCGTTCGCATCTTACGTGGTAACTCGATCGTGTATGCATTGCCTAGGCGGTGCAATACACGAAATGGGCCGATGTACTTGGGTAGTAGTTTACTGCTACCCAAGTTAGTCACTACATGCTTTGGTAGATTAACCGTAGACAGTAGGACTAAGTCACCTTTATTAAATAAAAGAGTGCTTGCCCTTCCATTCTTGTCAGCGTTTTGCTTTTGCTTATCCACCGCTTCGGCGATGGAGTCTTGCACAAAACGGACTACCGTTTCACGAGCCAGTATGAACTCATCTGATGACTCGTTAGCTTCAGTGCGCTGTGAGCGCACTGCAGCAACATCAACCTTTTCTTCAGTGAGGGCTTCCGCACTCTCACTGGGATCATTGTCTTCAGTGAGGGCTTCCGCACTCTCACTGGCATCATCTTCTTCGATATCGATGTTATCGATATCGGCCTCAAACGCAATGACCTCTTTCGTCAGAGCGTGATGAGCGTGAACCAAATCGGTTTTTGCTCGCGCGAGTCCCTCCCCCCTTAAACCAGAGTTACACTCTAGTAAGGTGGGTACACGCGGATGGCGCAAGCCATTCACGTAAAACGGTGTATGTGTCGTGGACGCATGCACCGAGTTGTTGATGGCAAACTCTACCATTGGCAAAAACTCACTCCAACTCTTAAAGGAGTGTACGTATCCTCGAAGTATCTCTTCAAGGACACGATCGGCACGTTCCGTCTGACCATCTGACTCTGGATGATCAGATGTTGACATCTTCAAGCGCGTTCCGAGTGATTTGAACACGGAACGCCAGAAATCAGCAGTGAATCGTGGATCTCTGTCTGATACGAGTTCACGGGGCAACCCATGAAGTCGGAAGATGGTGTCAATAAAGACACAAGCACAGCCACTTGCCGTGATTGTCTCTGGTACAGCCACAAGGTGTACCATTTTGCTGAATCTGTCAACAAATACGAGAATACCCGTATTCCCGCGTGCATCTTTGGGTAACCCGAAGACGAAATCCATCGAGATGGATTCCCAGCACTCAGCCGGAACCGGTAGAGGCTGTAAAGGTGCACGCAGTGAAGGACTTGACTTCACTCGTTGACAGACTTCGCATGCGCGAACATACTTTCGCACAAACTGATACTGGCGGGGCCAGTAAAAGTCTCGACTCACCGTGAGATATGTTTTCTCCCGGCCACGATGTCCTCCTATAGGAGCATCGTGATACTCGAACATGATCCGCAAACGCAGATCAGTATCATCTGGAATGACAACACGTGGTGTGTCACCAGAAACGGCTGTATAATACAGTAAACCGTTACGAGTAGTGTATCGATCTGATGCAGATCGATACGCAGGCGACAATCGTTTCAAAGATTCTCGAGATGGTTGGGAGAGATGTGTCAACAACTTCACTATCTCACCATCTTGGCCGTATGCCCGCCTCACATCATCATACAACGTTGTAGATGGGACTGAGGACGTCATAACCGCAACAGTGACTGTCTCACTGTTGGGTTTCGCGACTGTTTCAAAGTCGGGACGACGTGAGAGTGCATCAGCGACGACATTGAGTCGTCCTGGTTTGTACTCGACCGTAAAGTTGTATTCCGCAAAGAATGACAACCACCGCGCCATTCGCTGTGAAAGGTGCGGGCTGTTCACTGCCGTGCGTAATGACGCATGGTCAGTGTAAACAATGAAGGGTCTATCTCCTAATAGATAGACTCTGAACTTCGCGAGTGCATACTTCATGGCAAGGAGTTCCTTGTCATGCACTGGATAGTTCCGCTCAGCTGGTTGCAGCTGACGCGACTGATAGCAGACGACGCGTTCAACGCCTTCAAGGTCGTACTGCATTAATGCACAGCCGATTGCGAAATCGCTGGCATCACAGACCACATTAAATGGCCTGTCCTGATCGGCTATTGCTAGGACTGGGGATTGTATCAAGCTCTGCTTGATACCATCAAAGGAGCGCTGACATTCAGCGTTCCATAACCACCTCTCGTTCTTTTTCAACAAACGAGAGAGGTGCACAGTCATTTCGGCGTAATTGCGTGAATACTTATGCAAATACGCCGCTAGCCCAAGGAATTTTCGAAGACCTTTGACATCGACCGGCACAGGCCAGTCGGTGATCGCCTTGATCTTTTCGGGATCAGGACGTACACCGTTCTTACCAACGATGCACCCAAGAAGTGGTATTTCGCTTGCTGCAAATATACACTTCTTGAGGTTTGCATACAATTGATCATTCGCATGATTGTAAGAACCTGTCGGACGTGGTACCTGTGAACCTCAACGTCCAACTTTCCATCCGTAGCTCGACTATGGATGAATACGTCATCGAAATAACTCGGCGCGAATTCTCGTACTGGTCTCAACAGATGTGTATCACATCTGTTGAACGTGGCAGGGGCATTACTGAGCCCTTGTGGCATTACTAGCCATTCCCAGAGCATGCCGCTAGGCGTGCTAACTGCGGTATACGGTATATCCCGTTCCCGCATAAGGATTTGATAGAAGCCATCCATCAAATCCATGGACGAAAAGATGGTACTCTTTGACATACCATCAATGATTACGTCCTTCCTCGGTATCGGCGTCTGATCCGGTACCGTTGCAGCGTTCAATTTGTTGAACGCGTGCACCATCCGCCACCCTCCTGTTGCTTTTCGCACACAGAAGGTCGGAGAGCTATGTGGGGAAGTTGATTCCCTCACATGGCCCGCAGCTAAACGATCGGCAAAGAACTTGTCGATCGCAAGTACTTGTTCACGAGGCAGTGGCCACTGCTTCATGACACAGTACTTCGAGCCTGGTTTAAGCTCGACCTCGTGTCGAATACCTTTATCCTTCGGTAATTCGCACGGGACAGTTTCAGGGAATACATCCTTGAATTCAACCAAATCTTCGTAGAGAGGATTTGTCTTGAGCGATTCCCACGATTGGGAGTCATATCGCTCAATTCGTGTCTTTTCATCTAGGACACTCTCGTCCATAGATGAACTACTGAGAACTCTCTCGCTCTCAGTAAACACGGTTGCTGACCTTATGTCGGTTACACACTCGTCGTCAGCGACGAGTACGCAGATCTGCTTGACTTTGCCACTACGCAGATCACGCAATAACCTTTTATGTTCGAGCGTTGGCAACTGAGTGATCTCCGAAGTTAACTTCGGAGGCGCAATCAGATCAAGTGTATAAGCGCCTACACTTGATCCGTTATTGACTATGACATTCAACGTATCTGTCATTTCCTGGGGACTTATTCCCTCAGGCTTCGAAGGACTTACTCCTTCGTCTTCCCGGGGACTTATTCCCGCGGGTTTCGGGGAACTTATTTCCGCCGTATTTCTAATCTTGGGACTTATTCCCTTTACTTCCTCTAGATGGGGTTGCGCAACCACAGCGAGATCCTCTACGAAAGACTCTCCAGTCGATCTAGGATTATCGTTTCGCTTAACCTGAGCGATCGATTGTTTCTCTTCTAGATGTTCCCCGCTAGGGATACATCTTTGTCCCAGTCCACCCGACTTATTCGAGTGGTGGACCTTTGGCGCAGCCTGTGTTTCCTCACAGCCGCCGGAACTTTGCTCCGAAGTGTAACCGTTTGGTACACTAAGTGTTGTGCAGTCGTACTAACGACCGTACCACAAGTGAGGCCATCGCACTCACTCGTAGTACATCCACACGCTTGTGGACGCTTCAAAACGTTCATCAGATGGCCATCTGATGAACAAGCGGCAGGCATCGTTACTGTCCGATGTTGCCAGTTTACCCGTGGTTCGTACCTTCTGAGCCACGGTATTCCAAAAAATAACATCAAATTTGTCATCCAAATTCAATACGATAAAGTCATCGTCATTTAGGGTATCTTTTAGCGTATAGTGGATCTTCACTATACGCTTCATGACGGTTACGGATGCGCCTGTCGCAAGACGTACCGTCATCCTCGTAGGAGGTGTGTCACATTCACTGAACTTAAAGTGACCATCTTCTAGCGATTAGCGTCGCACAAAATTGTTGGACGCTCCACAATCGACTAGAGCTCGAAGGGACAATTTATTCGTCACTTAGAGTTTCAAGGTAATGAGTGAGACCTCATTACCTAGAGCAGCAACGCACAACGTTTGTGTGTTGGGAGCAACTTTCATCAAGAGGCCTACAAATTCTCTTGACGTTGCTAGACCAGTAGGGTGCTCCGCACCTACTGATCCTGTCCGTTTTTTGACGGTCCATCCCGTTGTTGCGTCTTTGCACCAACTGCGGACCCTCGTCCCTGCCCCTTTCTCATGGGTGGACGGTCACTACGCCCAGTGTCGCGAGACACTGGACGAGGGGCACTACACTCGTAAGCGTAGTGTCCTGTCTTTTGACATCTGTTGCATCTCTGCAACTTCTTGTAGCCTGTAGAGCGAGCCTTCTCGCTCTCTACATAACAGAGTTCCATCGGCTCTGGACCTCCGTTGTCATATCGTCTCGGTTGACGATATGATGTCGAGCTGGCGCGAGCCTGTCTCAGACTGAAGTCTTCCTGCTCCGCAATGGAAATGGCTTGTTCTAGTGAATCTAGTTCAAGCCGGAACAGGTGAGTCTTGACGGGACCATCCGCAAGACCCTGCATGAACACCGAAACCAACGTGTGTTCATCCACCGGATTGGAACTTATACAACTCGTGAGATGTCGTATATGTTGAGCGTAAGCGTGCACATCACGCTTACCCTGCTTGAGCTTCAAGAGTTCGGTTCGAGCTCTGAGCTCAGCTCTAGGCGGTTCAAACGTTTGTCTGAGCCGCGACTTGAAGACTTCCAACGACCCGAACGCATATGGGTCGTGCAACTTAAGCCCCAGTGCCCAAGTCTTGGCACGTCCTGCCAGATTTGACTGGGCAAATGCAACGTGCATATCCCCGTCGTCGATGCGACGCGCCCTTATGGCGTCATCCAATTCGATGAACCATCTCAAGAGGGAGTCCTCTTCGACTCCCCTATACTTGGAGATGTCAATCTTCAAGGTTTCGGGTCGACGCGAATGCATCGACCCACCAGCAGCAGCCTGCTGCTGTCTCAACAGTTCAAACTGTTGAGCACCCTGTTCTCCTAACAACTCTGCTTGTTGAGAACCTTGTTGGTGAAGCAAGGCTACTTTCTTGCGTTCTGCGTCAAGTTCATTTTGAATGAACTTGGCGATAGTAGCGTGTTGGGCATCTCTATTGAGAGCCTCTAGCATGACGCTAACAGCATGGATGCCCATGGTCGAACCCATTCGTTCAACCGCATCCCATTCGACATCGCTCAAATGGGAGTAGCCGTCACGCGTAGCGTGAAAGCTTTGGTCATCTTCATCATCCAACATATTCATATTGGATGTGAACGTGGTCCTTGGACGGACTACGAAGTGCTACCAGGTGTAACGGGGCACCCTGAAGCTTGTACTGGTGACAGTGCAAGCTACTTATTCTGATAACAGAATAAGGCGGTGCCTCGTAACTTCACGTACACTCGTACGTGCAGAGGAAGACGGTAAGAAGAAGCGAGTACTTGGTTAAAGTAAAAAGTAGAACTGTATTTATAATAGTTAATGTCTGCAATAAATCACTATTTATCTTCATCTAACTATGTCTAAATACAAATGTGTAAATCAGCTATCTGCTCACCACTCATTGCGTGCGTCTGTCGTGGCGCGTCTTCGTTGGTTGATATAATGGCCTATATCAACCAATTAGGAACTACTCGTAAGTGCTGTAGAATATTTGTCCTTATGACAATATTCTGAGAATATAACTCTTACAGCTTTATTCTATTAACAATTTCTTATAAACTGTTATGTAACGATTCACCCCGTTACATCACCCCCCCTTAACCATCAGTCACTTTAGTGACTGATTGACTAAATGGATACTCGTCCCAAATCATTTGGGACAGGGTCTGTACCAGCTGTCACAAGAAAAATTAGCCAGGCAAATTGGTTTAAAACGGATGTAACGAAGCCTGTGATAGAAGCCTTGTTTGTAAAGTAAAACGATAGGGGGATCAAGCTCTGGAGCTCGCCCTCTGATAAAAGTAATTTAGCTCGAACAACTGAATCAAGTTGCGAATCAATACTCAACAGCAGCAGTCCTTAAGAAATCAGTATGATGCTATAAATGTCTGGATCAACTAGAACATTTAACTAGGACACCGTTATCGGCCTTCGCTTGAGATCGTCCAACAAGTTAACATAAATAGATCGCCCAAAAAGAATTTAGGTGTTTTGAACACTGCGGATAGGTGTATTTGAAGTTTCTCTTAGTGGTGGGGTCAAGTACGTCCATCATTTTAACAAATAACTAATGACTTATGTTTCCAGAAATGTTGATCCGAAACCGGATCTGTAACGTGGGTGCTTCGAATCGTTGGGGGCGACGGTAGCGATGGTCAGAGACATCCAACCCAAGCCAGATTCGAGTCTATCTTTTAAGCGCTCTCAGTGCAACGCTGCCCCAAGCAGCAGAAGATATCAATTCGTCCAAAAGGACGCCCAACTAAATCAGTGACCATTTAGCGCGACCCGTCGACGTGAAGCGCGATCACCGACGTAATTGCAAGGCGCGAGAAGGGCAACCCGCCGGAATATTATCCCTCGTCATATCTCTCGTCCGACCGCGATGGTGGCCCCCTCCTAGGCCGCTTGCGCGACGCCCAGGACTTGGACTGTGCGACCGCCGCAACAACGACACGTGGAGTGGGGTACGCCTCCATTTCAATAACCTTCCCCTTTTTTGCCTCTTGCACAACCCGTCGATCCACATCCCTCTTGAACGATACTTCGAGTGCAGCGCACTCGAGCCAGACTCCAGACCTCTTCGGCTCCCCCATGAGAAGGATTTTCTCCAAAGTGGCCGCCCCCGAAGGAGGAAAAAGATTGACTTGAGCTGAACCGGGAAATTTTTGGAACTTAACAAAAAAATCCCTTAGAAGAGCAGTCGATATCATAAATGTTACGAACATAGTCCTCGTCTTCGCTCTTGTCATCTCTGCTATATCCTCGTTATGATGCAGCGCCTTTCAGCCTTCCTTCACTTAATGCAACTCAAGATGCTGAGTATTCTGCTGCTCCAGCGTCGGTTTTAGCAACATATTAAGTCAAAGTTGGTGCTACCACGTATTTTGGCATGCTGACAACCCTGACGCTCTCAAACCCTTACCTAAACCAATACTTTTACTACTAGCGATGTTATGTACTGCTTTCTGGTGGTAGTATAGCTTAATTAGGGGCTCATCGGTCTTAGACAGTTTGGCATCAGCAAATGCAAGAACTGTCTCCACTAGGAACTACCGAGGTTGACAAGAAGGTGCCTTAATTGATACTTTTTTTTTTCCCTTTTTTTATTTTCTCTTTTTTTTTCATTTTATAAAATTTTGGGGTGGGGCCCCTTTTTCCCCCACTTTCGGCTGTCGTTCCAGGTACCTCCCACAATCTCGGGTGTCGTTCTGGGTACCTCCCAATCTCGATGTCAATTTAGGTTCCTCACGGAAATCTCGGGTGTCAAGCCAGCTATCTCCCACACTTTCGGCTGTCGTTCCAGGTACCTCTCACAATCTCTGGTGTCGTTCTGGGTACCTCCCAATCTCGATGTCGATCCAAGTTCCTCACGGAATCTCGGATGTCGAGCAGCTATATCCCACACTTTCGGCTGTGGTCCAGGTACCTTCCTCATCTCTTATGTCGATCGAGATAGCTCCCCTCCTTCCCTACTTACCCATCTAGGCTGCACAGCTGTCCAGTACCTATTTGGCTGGGCTTCAGAATCACCACAAGAAGTGAGCTTGGCATACATAAACCTCACTCTGCCTTTTGCCAAACAGTGTTTACTCAAACATTTCAAGCCTTCCAAACCTGGACCATTGACGCTCATGAACATCCAGGGGATTTTTATCATTTTCATGGCCTCCATAGTGGTTTGTCCAGTGACCAGTCAGCTGCGTCAAGTTAAAGATACTGTTTGTCACGAGGCGCACGAGTGTGATGATGTCGATTCCACTCCACTTAAATCGATCTCCGATTTCTGTAAAGGCAGCGATGCCGTCAATTGCTGCGACCACAGGTGCTCTCCGCTAAACTGCGTGCATGTCAAGGCGTGTTCCACCGAGCTTGCATTAAGAATGGAGTTCTATCGTGGTGCAACAAAAAATGTTCCCGCGATCGTAAGCAAAATGACAATTACGAATCCTGCTGCTTCAACATTTGCGGTGGGTGACTGAAGAGCAGTGGGATCATCTAACCGAGCACACTCGCCTCTGATATGAGTTTGGTTTTGTGTTGCATCGTCCGAGTGGTGCAGCCCTCTTCTGCTGGCACTCCTTTAAATGTTTGGGGCTCCTTGTTTTTAAGCCTGTCTAAACAATAAACGATAGCATGGTTGAATACAAAATGGTCCATAATAATCCCTTTTTTACACCTCATGCTTGCTTGTTTCTATGTGGCTCGCTTCGTCGATCTGAAAACTTCAATGCGATAACCTTATTAAATGCATAGTACAGAACTTTCTTCGATTACTTTTCCTCCGATGTCGAATAATCTTTACTAACTTATAGGATTCAACAACCACGCGGTTGCTTCATTGTCATTTTCTTGTCGCTAACTGATATTATGTTACAAATATCGTGGAAGCCACTTATGGGTGTACAAAAAAGTTTGTTTCGAACTAGAAATAATACCCATTTAAACTAAGCATCGAAGATGGTTGTTGTAATGTCCGAGCTAGAAAAACGAAAAGTAAGGTTCATTACAACCTTAAGGTAACGGGTCAATCCGGTACATTATATTGACACCAAATGTCAACAGTTGGCAGGGGATTGTCACGTAAGACAATCTCCATATTGACACCGAGCTGGATGATACATAAGGAATATTATCCCCTTTTAGGATAAATTCATGTGCTGCTCCAAGAGTGGTTGATATAAAACGCAACAATTATAGATTACCACCAATCGCTGCTAGACGCGCGCAACAAGTGGTGAGTTGGTAGTCGTCATACGACGACGTAGTTTAATATAGTTAGATAAATATTAAAGTTATATTGATAGCTTAACCAAATTAAATACAGTTTTCTTTCTACCCTTTTGATCAGCTTAGTCGTCGAGTAGATAAGCTTCCTCTGCACGTATAAGTGTACGAGAAGTTTCGTGGCACCATAAGCAATGGGTATCGCTATGGTAGCTTTACGAATGTCGGCTGAATGCAATTCGACTCAATTTGTACTTTATGTACGTGTGGATTCGCTTTTTGCGTGGAGGAGGACATCGGCCCTGTTCGTCGGACGAACCAGATCACAATCGAAGGTAAGCAAAATTAGTTAGCTGTTCGTGTGGTACGTCCAGCTTCACAGAACGAAAGTTAGGCATTGACGCCAGCTTAATTACTGCGCCGTACTCTCGCCGTATTTTTTAGATTCACAAAACAGGTGTGGGTTAAAAAGCGCGACAAGAGGCGGCCAATGATTCGGCTATAACGCCTTTCGAATACTTTGTAACGTTTGGGCTGCTAGATTATCCTCAAGTATTGAACCCATATTCATTAGTTAAGCCTCTCTATTGTAGCGAAGAGATAATTCTATAGTAACTACTTATTGCGATTTCGAAAAGGGAAGCTTTTAGTGAATGTGCGCATGATTAAATTACAAGTTTTAAATCGCACTTATCTGTACGTGTGTGTCGGTAAAAACGCGGTTATGCGCACCTTAAACGTATTTAGTGCGACAAGGCATGTGTCCACCTAATAGGTATGTTGGCATATACGAAGTTAAATTCGAGAAGGTCACTTTTGTGAGGCACGCACGGGATCGACTTGTTATCGATAAAAGGTAAATATATGATTTCTTTTTCAAATGATGGTCACTTAAGTTAAGGTTATTCTCTTTGTCCCGGCCGACGTTACTAGGTCAATCCGGACATTAAGTTGCAATTCAATACTCAGTGACTGCTGTTGCTGAATATTAATTTGCAACTTTATTTAGTTGTCTAAACTGGATAACTTGTATCATAAGGCGAGGTCCAAAGCGCGCTCCCCATCCTTATTTTTGTGTTGGGTTATATAAATATACAAGTCACGCTCGTACTGGTACTCTTCGTCCGGCTTTTGGTTCCAATATGAACATAAGACAATGTTATACCAATGTAAATTAGTTAGGTATAATAAATTGAAGCAATATATCATACCTACAGGTTCCTTCTTATACACCTAAACTTGTTGCTAAAGCACTTCATCTTTCTTAGCTTTCCATTTTACTAAATAATTTATTTCGACAAATAGTGAGATAAAATGCATTACAAAATAAGCGATCAGAGAAACGTAAGCCTTTAGACAGGCCTCTACTCGCGTCTTCCCAATTTTATCATCTACACGACGATGAACCATTTTATCTATACATTCTCCTCTGGTGGTGCATCTCACAATTTAAATCCTTAAGTCTCTCCTGCGTCGGCCTCATCCGCAAGTCTTATCATAATTCTACTATATCCGCTAGATTCAACGAGAACACCTACTGATGCCGTCCATTTTTTAATATCGTCCCGCTCCTTTTTGTAATTGTGACAATCTAATTATACTGTAAATCTTTTGTCCTCTCTCCATTACGAAGGTGCGAATACCCTCTTTCGGTCAACCCAATACGAAGTCAGGAAAATTCTGTCCCCGGTTAAGCAGTACGCTGTGCGCGAAAGGTTTCGCTTTTAGCAATGTCCGCAGCTTTGTACTTGTGTTGAGCGCATTCTACTTGGTTGCTTGTAAGTTTCATACTGTACTTGAATAACAATTATTTATGTCGTCAATAGACCGTGTAATTATTGACGGTTTTTTTCGCGCACAATTAAATTCGACAATACTTTGCCAGAAATGAGCCTAGTCGACACATTCCGAACAACTGCAACTAAAGACAGATCCGACAAACAAATTAATACATGTGATTGGCATTACTGGCGGCATGGGTGTGTTACAAGATTATGACAATTTGAAAGCTCTAGTTCGTCGTGATGCATGTAACTTTATCCAGATTATAGTTTTATGCGCATATGCGGTGACTAAAAAATGCACATTACACGTGCTGCACCTATTTTTATCAATTTATACTGAATTAATTACAAGGAGACGAACGTCCTTTCGAGATCGGAAATGAACACTAAATATTCGACTATTCTAGCTCACAGGGTTGTGCAGGAGACTAACTGATTTCCTTAACAATCCCCCAATAAAAACGCCTCCAACCATTTCAATGCCGGATTTGCAGTGTAATTGACAGCATGCACTTCAGCAGTCTATTTAACACTAACCGTAAACTGAGAAAAGCTAGAAAACGATATTTTGCTATTTAAAGAAGGTTGTGTTTTGTCAAAGTACCGGTGTTTCAAAGCATAGTAATCCTCTTTTGGTAAATTATGAGTGTTGTCCTGTGGTACAGTGGGTGATCTATGCTTATTTATGACTTATTTTTTTATGCTAGTATGAAAAGCAACAAGGCATGTAGGTTTATAAAGTAATACGCGTAGGTGCATTAAAAAGCTTACCAAGTTTCGCTAGCGCGAAAATAAATGTAGGATATTCACACGTAGTTTTCACTTAACAATCAAGCTTGACGCTTTTACATTTGTGCACTTGGGTGATAGACTTGGCCCGGAAACAATTGAGGTTCTGGCGATACTTGGCTGAGGCTTGCGTCATGACGAGATCGACGACGCTGTAGATGTTTTTTACCAGATTTCAAATCGCGGACATTTTATCCAAAATAGTTTTAATTTAAATTTAAATTGTAAAAGATGGCTTCATTCATCGTTTGATAGCTGGTGTGCGACTAGTTTTTGTCCACAAACAATCACGCGATGGACTTGTACCGAACATGCAGTGGTAGCTTGCTCGCGCTGTAAACTCCTCGTACTAATTAACTTGCGCCTCACAATTATATTGCGTCAACGAATGCATCATCTAAACGGTTTTACACTGAATTTGTTCTTGCCCAGATAGTAAACCTTTAAAAAAT